TACAATCTTGTATATATAAATAAAAAAATATTTTACTTTAATAAAAATATTCAAAGAAGTAATAATAAAACATTTCAAACTGTGTAAGCATAAAAAGCAGCCGCAAAATAAGAAAAACGCAATATACGAGTATACATACATATATGTACATACATACGTTGCGTGTAAAAACTAAGAACCCAACAAATTGTTTGCGACATTAAATTGCCTGTCGTRTGTTATTTGTACATAATACATACATACACAATACCCAGCTCCAAAAAAGGCCCACACGCTTACTAATAACAAACCGGCTTTTGTCGATGACGTAGCAAGGTGAATCGGCGCACACACACACAGTGAAAACGAATAAATGCTTATGACGCGAAGTTATACACATACATACATACATACATACATATGTATGTTCCAGTGCGCTAGCCGAGGCGAAGCTAGATCATTAAGCATTTTTTAATATAAACACACACATACATATGCACATGCATATATACATACATATATTAAACAGCAAAAGCAACAAATAATAATAATTTTTTTCGCATTTCCTTTTAAATATTTCGTAACGGACAGTCTGTGTTGTCGCTGAGAAAGAGCRCCAGAAGAGCTCGTATTACAAACATAAAATAGACAGATCAAATAAAAATATACACACTTACATACATATACATATACACATATATACATATATATATACAATATATACTTATGTACATAAATATATGAATATTAAGACAAATATTAGTGGAACGCATTGCGCTGGTGGTTGTGATAAGGGCGATCAATGATTAAGTCGATGACGTTGCAGATGCCAGCAAAAACAACAACAACAGCTACAACAAAAACAAACAAAGCGCATAGGAATATGATAAAAGTGGTGACGAGAACGTCTGCAGCAAAAGCAACAACACCATTATTAACTACACCAWCAASAACTACAATAACAACAACAAAAGGCAGTAAAACAAAAACAACACTATCTATAATGTCAACAGCAACGAACACTACCACCGATATGCATTTTAAAGCCGCAAACAGTGAGCGCATGCGCAGCTGCCACACGACGCCGCAAGCCATCAGCTGTTGCGGTAATAATTATCAGCACAATAATGATAATAATTCTCAAAATAATAATAATGATATTAATCAACATAATAATGTTAATAATTATCAAAAAAATAATATAAATAATTATCAAAAAAATAACAAAAATAATTATCAATATAAAAATAATAAAAATTATCGACATAACCATGATGCTCATAATGAACATAACAACGATAATAATAATGAGCATAATCGTAGCAAAAATCGGCTTAGTAAAAATAATAAAAACAACCACCGCA